TTTTAGAGTACAAGTTACTTTTTGTTTTAATCCTCCCCGGGATATGCATTTTTATTGATTTTTAGAGAGAGAAAGAGGGGAGAGAGAGAGAGACAGGGATCTGAGAGAGATGCTTGCAAAACAGTGGGCCCTGGTGGTGGGGACATGGGAGCAGTGTAAATCCAAGAATGGCGTTGTTTCTCCAGCGTCGAAGCTGGAGGTGACTCTCTGTGGCTCTGAGGCATGCGTGAAGCCATCCTTCCGCACGAATCTCTGTCCTGTTTGCCGGGGGAGAGAGAGAGGGAGAGAGAGAGACAGGGATCTGAGAGAGATGCTTGCAAAACAGTGGGCCCTGGTGGTGCGGACATGGGAGCAATGTAAATCCAAGAATGGCGTTGTTTCTCCAGCGTCGAGGCTGGAGGTGACTCTCTGTGGCTCTGAGGCATGCGCGAAGCCATCCTTCCGCACGAATCTCTGTCCTGTTTGCCTCTGAAGAGGAGACTCGCATCGGGTGCCTGTGAGTCTGATGGAAACAGAGCCACACTCAACCGAACGGCTGAACCGAACTTCCCCGGACAGGAAGCGGCCCCGCGTGCTGGCCAAGGCGGCGCTCAGCGTTGTCCACAGACGTTTAATATTACAAATGCGTATCAATATTTCACGACCTATTGCCTTCGAGGCATCTCATAATGCATGTGAGGACAGCCGCAAATGGTCTCTTAGAGCAAAACGCAGGAACTGCTCTCGAGCCGTTCTTGGTTTGGGGTCCAAGGTCTGGCAGTTCTGGGCCCTCAGCTGACTGACATTAAGAAGAGACAGGACGGGGGTCAATGCGCACTGACTGGGGAGCTATTTAAAGACGCCCTGAGCAACGTGTGGTGAATATCGTGCGCTTTTGCCCCCAGATGCAGCTGTCTGTCAGCAGAGGAAATTCTGAAGGGTATTGTCTAGTTTTCCTTTGATGTGAGACATCCCCGTGAACACGGGGAGAGCAGATGGCGTTTGATTTGGGTTTGTCTTGCTCTTCGGCTTCCTTTGTCATTACTTGGGCTCGGTGGTCTCGGGAGCGGGCCGCGTCCCCTCGCTCTGCGACGGTTCTTGGCAGCGCGGAGATACACCAGGTCCTGATTGGATTCGTTGCCTTCGTGATTTATCACGTCAGTGCCCTACTTAGCGTTGACAAAAGGAGCAACATGATTTTTAAATGGAATACTCCTGAATGAGTTACTTTTTTATCTTCAAACTTTATTATAGAGTGTATGCCCGTGCGCTCGCCTCTATGAGAATATTAGAATATCCGTATTTCCTCTCTTATATCAGACAGTTTGCCTAGTATTTTCTAGCCTGGGAGCCTGTGAATTCGAAGGGAAAGATAAAGTGGGTGTGTTTGGAAAATGTGTTTTCTTTTTTTCCTTTTACGCCTGGTACAGATATAAGGCGTCTGATTTGAATGCCCGCCCCTTGTGAATCTTATTGTGTCAACTCCTGGTTCCAAAGGCGATGACTTTTCCCGGGCTTTACCCCGAGACCAGCATCCTTAGCCCGACATCTGAGGGCCCCCCCCCATTGTACACCTGCAGCCTCATTTCCTTCACACCCACCTTCGCCATCGGCAGCCTCTCCTGTGGGCCTTCCTTCTGCTCTTGCCACAGGGGCTTTGCTGAAATATTGACCTATAGGTAGGTCATGGGCACAGACCAATCAGAGAGCAGGATTCTGGAACTCCTGCTAGCCAGGCATTCGCCCTGAGGTGATGGGTCGAGGGGCAGGAGTGGGGTCTGTGCAGCCCAGGAGGGCAGGGAGGTGGCCAGCCTGAGTCCAGTTCAGGGCGACACCTGGTCTGTGTCCACACCCGAAAGGGTGCTCCCCCCTCCCCTCAGCACACACATCACATGTCGGTTATGCATCTCCGCCTTCCCGCCATCTGCTCGCCTCCTCAGAGGAGCCCCTGACCTTCCGGGGAGGCCTCCCCTGCCCCCAAGGCTCCAGGGAAACCTCTCCCTGTCACTGTCCCTGCCGGTGGCCCGTTCACGGCGACTTGGCGCTGACATGGATCGTGTGCCCCTCCCCCTCGTTCATAGACTCCACTCGGGCGGGGCTGGCCAAGGGACCCCACCCACACACGAATTCGTGCACCGGGCCTCTAGTTGAAAAAAGAGAGAAAACCACTGAGGAAGTAGCAGTGAACAAGTTCTCAGACCAAAACGCAGCCAACCTCACACCGCGCAGCAAAACATCAGCAAGACAGACACGACCCAACGAGCGTTGGGGACATCGGCGCCGAGGAACATGCTGAAATGCCCGGAAAAGGGCCGGCTCCAGAGCGGCGTCAGACGCCGTAACAGAGACACTCCAAGCAAAGAGACGCAGATACTCTGTGTTCAATGTTGGAGGAGGAAACCTGAAACTCGAGTTTGACGTCCTGTAAACGACCCCCCGCAGCACAGCCCACCAGCCCACGAGCCCACGCTGCTCTGGGCGGTCGCCTGAGGGATTCTGTGCCACAGGGTGCTGGAGGACGGCGGGTGTGTGTGGACATGCGTGTGTGTGTGGATGTGCACATGTGTGTGTGTGCACGTGTGTGTGTATCTCCACATGCATGCATGTGCACCTGTGTCCATTGTGCGTGTGTGTGTGTGTGTGTGTGTGAGCTCATGATTTCTGGACTACAGCTTCCTCACAGACATGATCAGAAGGAGGGTGTGGTGGTTATGGATTGTCAGTTATCAGCTTAATCCAGAATGATTTGGGTCAGCATTCGGGTTTGTAATTGAAAATAATTGTGGGCACGGACGGTGTCGCTGACTGAGCAGAAATAGAGGAAGGCAGGCGGGTCTGAAAGCCTCCGGGCCACAGAGGAGGCGCCAGCCAGGGCGGAGGCCTGGGAACCCAGGGCTGAGTGAGTGAGGTGGAGAGGGCACCCCCACCCCACCCCGTGTACTGGGATCGCTCGGTCATCTTGGCGTCGGTCTCTGGGACAGATGCCATGCACGTGGCTCCCAAAGCTGTTTCCGGTGCGTCCGGTGGCAGGTGCAGCCGCGCCCTCTCACTCCCTGCCCCCTCCTTACCTGAGCTCACTGCTGGGCTGGGGAGCCACGTCGCTGCCCAGCGAGCGGCTGGACGTGCTGGGCAGTGACGCCCCGGGAACGGCCTCCACACGGTGACTAGTGGGAGGTGGTGTGTGGAGCCCCCAGCCCTGCCCCCGTGACAGGGATTATGCTGGCAGCTCGGGACAGCCTTGGGTGACTCCGGGTTAAGCTAGAGTCACACCCAGTTTGGTGGCTTGTCTCACCCATATCGGCTGCCTCCCTCCCCCTCTCACCCCCAACTGTTTTTGTCCTTCACCTGCCGGGGAAACGGCAACACCTGAATTCATTTCGCAGCGTTTGCAGCTGTGTGCATGCATGTGTGTGCGTGTATGTGTGAGCGTGCCCTTTGCAGTGGTGGATGGCATCATGCCCTTTGCAGTGGTGGATGGTGAGTGTGCCCTTTGCAGTGGTGGATGGCAAGTGTGCCCTTTGCAGTGGTGGATGGCAAGTGTGCCCTTTGCAGTGGTGGATGGCAAGTGTGCCCTTTGCAGTGGTGGATGGCAAGTGTGCCCTTTGCAGTGGTGGATGGCAAGTGTGCCCTTTGCAGTGGTGGATGGCAAGTGTGCCCTTTGCAGTGGTGGATGGCAAGTGTGCCCTTTGCAGTGGTGGATGGCATCATGCCCTTTGCAGTGGTGGATGGCGTCATGCCCTTTGCAGTGGTGGGTGGTGTCATGGCCCCCTTTGCAGTGGGTGGTGTCATGGCCTTTGCAGTGGTGGATGGCGTCATGCCCTTTGCAGTGGTGGGTGGTGTCATGGCCTTTGCAGTGGTGGGTGGTGTCATGCCCTTTGCAGTGGTGGGTGGTGTCATGGCCTTTGCAGTGGTGGATGGTGAAGAATGGCCACAGATCCAATTCCTGGGACAGTGGTTGTCAACTGCATGTTGGTGGTTCCAGGTTCTCAGGGGCAGAGTCAGTGCTGCCAAATCTGGCATCCACTCCACCGTCCCAGCCCCAGCGCCGTCTCCCACATACATTAGGTCGCAGCATCGCCATGGGAACGGCGGGCTTAGTCTATCAGTGTAAGAACATGACTTGAGCGTTGTGATATTTTCACTTTTTTAATGGTTGGGACACAGTTTAGATTGATGACATCGCTCACTTGCCAGATCCACATTTAAGCTGGGATTCCTCTCTCTGGCTCAGCGACAGCGAATTCGGCCCAGGCCCAGCCGCTGCCCAGGCCCAGCGGTGCGTCCTCCCGCCAGCATGGGCCGCTGTCAGCCGTCGGAACAGGGCCCCAGGTGTGCGGCCATTCGGCTTGACCTCTCACCGCGCAGGTTAACGAGTGTTTGTTGGCTGTTGAACATGACTCAGGATCTTCACATAATGATTTCCTCTCTACCAGCCCATTTCAGTTGAGAAAAATTAAAGAAGATAAACAAGAAAATCGTTTCACTTGCAAGACTCTCAGGCTCGGTAGTTCTCACCACGAGCGTTTCGGGTCTGTGCTCGGCGGCACGCTCTCTGCGCTTGTCCTGAGCGCGCCGCCGTGGAGGCGAGCCTCGGTCCTGCCATTTATAATTGACGCTCCTCATCATGGACCCGGGGACCCAGATAACCGGTGCTGTGAGGTGTCTGGTCCCATGACCCTCGTAGTCTTAGCAGCATGTCATCATCGGAGAAAATGAGAAAAGTTGGAATGCCGGGGTTATAAGTGCTGTAATTATTATCTCGCCAGTGTTTTAATACTTAACATTAATGTTTAATATTTTTAGTGTTGAACAGTTCTGATTTTATGAGGCCACTTCCATCTGCCTCTCAGTTAACATAGAGTGTGTTTTTTTAATGTCTCTACATTTCATACATCTTCTCTTTTGTATCCAAAAAGACACATTTTGAGTGGCATACAGTTTTAGGAGAATAAGGAAATGTATTTTTAAAAGCAACTCATTTTTTTCAAGCCTAACTTCTTTCTACATATATTTTACAGATTAAGGGTTTACCTGAAGACAAACCACCCTGTTCATCAGAGACTGGACCAGAGTTCCTCCCTGTGGGCAATTAAAGATGCTGTTGTCATGGAAACAGCTGGTCCTGCTGTCATTCATTGGCTGCCTAGGAGGTAAAACTAAGCTGTATTTTCCAAGTTGAGGTTAGAAATATACTTGAGTCATATATTCAATAATTTTTAAACTGTGGAGTAATACTCCTCCAGTAGCAAGGAAGAACAGTTTTTTTTTGTTGTTATTTGTTTTTTTTCAGAAGGAAAATTCAGACACTCTCTTCTGACTGTTAGATTATCATTTCAGCCCCTAATTTTGGCCCAATGTTTTATGCCTTCCTACGTCATGAGTCTCCTGTAGCAGACGAATGCAACAGTTAATCAGAATTTGCAGATGTTAGTTCATGAATATTTTTTTCCAAAAGGAGCTAAAAGTTACAATCTCTAGTGTAATTGGGCGAATATAAATTTTAACGCCGGTATTTTTATATCTCATCTCGAAAACAACAGTTTTTTTTTTAGCAGGTAAATTATTTCAGGGAGCAAAAATAAACATGGGCTTTTTATTTGTTAATTTGGAAAATTTGAAGTTCAGAATAAAACAGAAAGAAAAAGGAATAATTTCCCAGACATCTACCATACAAAACAGTTCTTATAGATCACTTGATGTATTTCTTTTGTTCGTTTTGTTTTCTGAAGGAATGGATAACTAAGAGAAGATTTTTAAAAAATTAGTATATGTATAATGCATAGGTTTTTCAAAATGTTTATTCTTCTTCTTTTGAAAATTCTCCAGCGCCTATAAAGTTGAAAGAATAGTATAATGAACACCCACACATGCACCACTTAGATTGAACTGCTGGGCCGTTTCACTGTATTTGTTCTATTTGTGAACATACGTGGATGTATTTTTTCTCTTGATTGACTGATTGATCAGCTCAACCCTTTGAAAGTAAGTTACGGAAGTCATCGCCTCTCACCTCTGAAAATTTCAGCACCCATCTCCTGAGAAGACCAATTTTCTCCATAAACACAATTTCCTGGTGAAAAGGGAGCTAAGCCAACGCTGCCTGGTTTCCTGCTTAGACAAGGGTATCGCTGTGTAATGAGGCCCAATGTGTCATCTGGTAAAACACACATTACCGGAAGTAGACTTTTGAGCCCTTATATCAAACTTTAAACATCCTTCAAATATTTTAATGAAACAAAAAACCTCCAACTTTTACGTTAAAGGTTTTTTTTAAAAAAAACAAACACAGATTTTTCCACCTGACACCTCCGTTTTGTTCCTAAAACAACTATTCATCTAGCCCATAGGGGGAAAGGAGTAATTATTTCCAGATTTCTGCCTATTTAAGTGATCTTTGGAGAAAATGCAATGTAGATATCAAACAGTTGTTCTTCTTGGATTATATTCTTCATGTACAAAGTCGCCATTTGAGTTCTTTTGGAGGAGGAGGAAGATGAAAGTGAAGGCACTACAGTGATGGTATTATTCACGACTCAATTTTTATAGAACAACCTCGAAATTTCCCAGTTAATTGGAAATAGGAAGATATACTCAGAAAGGGAGGTATCGCTAAGGAGAAAGCTCAGTCCCTAAAGGTTTAAAGGCTGAGTTGTAATTTTATACAATGTGCAACTTGAATTAATCTTAGCATTTTTTGAAAAATCTTGCATATGTTTATGAATGAATTTATGAAAAAGCAGTATCCATTTTACTAAAATATTAAGACTTTATTAGAAAATTGAAATGCCAACTTGATTCTCGGGATATGTTGCTAAAAAGCTTGGATTAATATGGTACATTATGTACAGGGTACCAATGTGTTTTTTCCCCATTTTAAAAATATTTTGGTAAAGGTCCTTATAGAGCAACCTCCAGACTCCAGACCCCGCTGCCAGGGAGCCCGTGTTATGTGGTGGGTACTGGCCAGCCCGGGGCAGGCAGCGCTGGCTTCCACCTCTGGCTCTGAGACCAGGTGATGGGCGGCGCCTACGTGGTCAGCCCGGGGCTTCTCGGGGCAGAGGAGAGTCGCTGGAACGCAGCGTTTACCACCCCGCACTCACCCTGGCCACCCTGGCTGTCTCCCGCCCACAGGTGAGCTGCTCTTACACGGCCCCGTGTTCGTCAGCGAGCCCAGCGACAGCATGGTCCCCGTCGGTGCTGAGGACAAGAGAGTCACTTTCAACTGCGAAGCGAGAGGCAACCCTTCCCCTCAGTACAGGTAGGGTGCAAAGTCTGAAACGCACATTAAGAATGATGTGGCCCCTGGCCGGTGTGGCTCAGTGCTTAGAGCATTGGCCTGTGGACCGAAGGGTCTCGGGTGTGATTCCCAGTCAAGGACACGGACCGTGGTTGCAGGCTCCATCCCTGGCCTCAGTCGGGGTGCGTGCAAGAGGCAATCAATTGATGTGTCTCTGTCACATCGATGTTTCTCTCTCTCTCTCTCTTTCTCTTTCCCTTTCCCCCTCTCTCTCCTGCAGTCCTCTCTTCCCTCCATTCTCTCTAAAAAAATCAATGGGAAAATATCCTTGGGTGAGAATAAACAACAAAAAGAATGATGCGGCAACTGAATTTTTGGAGGCCGTGTGTTTACGGCGGGAAGAAACGCGTGCAGCTGTGGTTGCACCCGGGGTTCAGCAGACCTTAGTGTGAACACTGGGCCCAGCACACAGAGCCTCAGCATTTCACAAGCTGGATTCGTTCTTCAGACGTCTGGACACATTTCCCTCCCTCGGGGACATAGGAACGAAGCAACGGAACCAGGCGTGACCCTGGAATACTTTCCCAGCATTTTTGTAGGACGTTCTGACCTGTTGAAAACACAGTGCAATTGAAAGTGCGTGCTGGGACCGAGGCATCCACTGCGGCATCCTGGGGATGGAATTCAGTGTCTAAGGATGTGGTCCATGTACACACGGGAATACGACTCAGCCACAAGAAAGGAGGAAATACGGCCATTTGCAACACCATGGACGGACCTTGAGAAGATCATGCTAAGTGAAATAAGTCAGTCAGAAAAAGCTAAGAACCATATGCTTTCACCCATGTGGGCTATAAGACTGAAACTTGTGAGTGGTAGTTGCCAGAGGGAAGGGGGTGGGAGGATCAGGGGACCCTAATATGAGGTGAAGAGACAATTTGACTCTGGGTGGTGGGCACACAGTGCAAAATACAGATCTTGTAACATAGAAACCCACATCTGAAGCCTGTATGTTCATGTTGACCAATGTCACCCCAATACATTCAATTTTTAAAAAAATAAGAAAGGGAGTTGGAAATCCTAGTTTTAGAAAAAGAACCTGCCGTGTCTGACCTTCTTCCTTTACCATTTTCCTGGGGTGTGTTTGAAGGTTCAGTAAATACAGAATAAAATACATTCTTACTAAGATCAGTTTGCTTATCCGTGAAAAGAAAAACACATTTAATTAGATTTTTTTTCATGTAAAAGTCTATATCTTTCCGATTATAGAGATAACACCTGTTCACTGAAAGACTTCGAACACCACAGCAAGGTATACAGAGAGAAAGAATAAATCTCTAGTTTTTGGTCGCCTTAAGATAAGAATACATGTGAACATTTTGGGGCAATGGTGGATCCTTGGATGGGATGGGTACTTACTGTATGAAACAACTCAGGATTAGCATTTCAACTCCTAGGGGTGCTGAGGGGACCCGCTTTCACGCAGAAATGAGTCATGTGTAAACAGCATGTGCTGCTTCTGTGGGAGGGGCTCCGAGGGAACGCGTTCTCTCAGTCCTGAGAGCATCCGTCTCCAAAACTCTGTTTGCGGAATTAGTTGGCTTGGCACAGCTTTCCTGAATCCCGCAGAGTGAGCCGACTGCGGCCCGTATCAATAACGTCTGACTGTTTAGAGTATTCGCGTCACTCCCTGAGCTTCCGTTCAGTTAAATCATGTAAATAGTTGATGCCAACAGTCAATGGCAACTGGGTCAGCATGAGGTCGGAAGGGAAGGCCCACCTTTGTATTTTTTAAAATATATTTTTATTGATTTCAGAGAGGAAGGGAAAGGGAGAGAGGGATAGAAAATCAATGATGAGAGAGAATCATTGATCGGCTGCCTCCTGCACGCCCCCACTAGGAATAGAGCCTGCAATCCGGGCATGTGTCCTGACTGGGAATCGAACCGGGACCTCCTGGTTCATAGTGGTTGACACTCAACCACTAAGCTATGCCGGCCGGGCGACCTTTGCAGTTTTTTGTTTGTATTTTAAGCCTCACCATTGATTTTTTTAGAGAGAGGGAAAGACAGAGAGAAATACTGATGTGAGAGAAACACATCAATTGGTTGGTTGCCTCCTGTACGAGCCCTGGCCAGGGCCCCAGGCTGGGAAGGAGCCTACAACCAAGGTACATGCCCTTGACCGGAACCAAACCTGGGACCCTTTGGTCCTCAGGCTGACGCTCTATCCACTGAACCAAACCAGCCAGGGCCTTTGCATTTTTACATCTGAAGCCTTGCAAGGTCACCGATATCCACCAGCCGGTGTATTGAGCACCTACTGTGTGCTTTCAGCAGCACAACACCAGGTTCCTGGTCAGCCTTGGCAGAGTGGTGACGTTTTCTCTCTGCCTCTTCCTCTCCCTGTAGAAATAGGGGAGGTGTCAGACCTGATGGAAGAGACAAGCAACCAGCATTTCACAAGCTGGATTCGTTCTTCAGACGTCTGGGTTTTATTCTTCCTTGTGCCTCCCCGCCCCCCTCCCGGAGCTCCGCCGCCTACGTGTGAAAGTTAATTGTGTTCCGTCTCCTCCTAAGTTTTATTCTTCCTTGTGCCTCTCCCCGCCAGAGCCCCACCACCTACGTGTGAAAGTTAATTGTGTTCCGTCTCCTCCTAATGCCAATGCCGCGAAGGAGGTGCCCTGAGGAGGCCTTCAGAGCTCCTGTGAACAGGCCGAGGTCTCCGGTGTCTCTTAGGTGACAGATGCCCACCTGTTCGCTCACTGCAGACCCTGAGCGGGGGCGTCTCTGGGCTGGATTGGGTAGAACGGGCCAGGGCACGAGGATCAGGCAGGTAACAGACCTGCAGAGGCGCCTGCCTGGCGCACACGCGACACCCTGAGCAGCGATGGGGCTGGGCTGCCCAGCGCCGGCCACAAGCCTCACAGGGTCCCCGCGCTTCTCGGTGTATTGCAGAGCTTTTCAAGAGATGTTTCTGGGCGCTCTCCACGTCTGATGTTGAGTCTGCTTTTCTGTTCACACCTGCTGGAGGCCACAGAAAACAGGTCTGCACGCTGGACGTGGCCCACATGGGCTGTTTCCAACATGCGGTTCAGCTGGAGATCGGCAGCCGTGCTGTCCAATAGGGCAGCGCAGCCAGATTTGGGGGGAAAGGGCAGGGAGGAAACAGGAGTCTGGGGTTAGGCCAGGAGGCCAGGCTCCAGTTCGGCCGCAGTCGGGGATGCTCTTACGTTTGGGGTGCTGCTTCTGTTTTGCTCACTTCAGGACGGATTGCAATGAGGGGACAGAGGTGGCTCCCCGGAGGTGAGCAGGGGGCGGCCTGAGACTCCCGACTGGCATCGACTGGAGAAAAGGGCATCTCCCCTGTTAGGGTCCTGAAGGGTTCCAATCACGTCAGGAGACTCCAGATAAAAACAGCAATGCTGTCAGCAGTCGGCCCAGGAGAAATGCCCAGGTCGGGTCTCGGCCCTGGGCCAGGGAAGTGCAGGGAAGGCTTCCTCTTGGGGGGTCTTTTCCTGGAGTTTCTGAGTGGGGACAGGAGGGGTGAACTGCTGACCACTGGTGTCCTCAGGCCTGAGGGGACGTTCTGAGGCCCAGGCCTGGGGCCCGGGAGGTGTGGCCTCATAGGAGGAGAATGAAGGATCTGCAACCAGAAAAAGCTGAACCGGTTGCAAGAAACGTAGAAATAGCCAACCTCCACCCTCTACTGTCTCCTGGGATTAACTAAGACAGTCACTGACCAATTGGAACAGGGCCGTAACTATGGAAACTGAACTCTGCTTTTTAATCCCAGTATAGCCGTAATCTCTATTTTTCAAAATGCATGTGTTTAAATTTAGATCATACATCATACATACATCATATATCACACATATATACATAGGTAGATAGGTACATAGGCACATAGATATATAGATAGATACACATGTAGGTAGGTAGATAGGTAGGTAGATAGACAGACACAGATGTACATAGGTAGATAGATAGGTAGATACATAGATATATAGATACACACACATATATAGGTAGATATGTAGGTAAGTAGGTAGGTAGGTAGATAGATAGATAGGTGATAGACACACAGACATATCTAGGTAGGTACGTAGGTAGGTAGGTAGGTAGATACATAGATATAGAGATACACATACATAGGTAGGTACGTAGGTAGATAGATATACACACATATAAGTAGGTATATATGTAGGTAGGTAGGTAGGTAGGTAGGTGGATAGATAGATAGATAGATAGATAGATAAATACTTAGGTAGGTAATGTTCTATATTAGGTAGGTAGGTGGGTAGATACAAAGCCACCAAGGAGTAAAATTAGGGGGTCATGTGTAACCATAAGTGAATGGAACCCAAACACAAGGTTCAGAACAAACTTTGTCTAACAAAGACTGTCCATTGCAAGCCCAGAGCCTACCCTGCAAACAGAGGCAAACTTGTCTCAAGAGAGATTTCTTTGTTGTTATCCCATTGAGTAAAAACAAAACAAAACAAAAAAACCCGCTTAATTGGCCCTACTGGAAAATCTGAAAGCTCAGAAATTCTCCAGAGAATCGCCTGTCTTGGGGTTTCGTGGAG